AGAGGACCAAAGTAGTGGTTCATTTATTCAGCGGTACCTCTAGGCAACTTGGCTGCTTCATTTGTGTGGGGCAGTGCTTTGCTGATAGCATTACGGCATTCAGTATGCACTTGCTTGAAATAGACCCGGCTTGATAATACCCTGCTCTTCGACTTGATTAGCCTTAGACACGTCATCTCCATTTAGACCTTCCGCAATTGCTTTGCAGAAAACTTCCCCTTCAACTGAAGTCGGGTTCTCTTGAAAAGTCGGATTTTAGTGCCAATACTGTACACAACCAACTGGAACATAGATGAATGAAATTCAGGTTGAGACAGCTGACAAAAGTGCGCTAGGAAGTCTTCTGTGTTCGTCCAGTTCCTCCAGCATCCGTCCTCCATGAGTTTGAAATCCTTCATACTTCTGACGCCATATGGGAAGTTAAGCAGACACGACTGAATCGAAGCATCAGAATCCGTCCTTGTAAAAAAGCCTTTATAGGATCATGCTGGAGCTATAAATCGAACCCCTTCTCTCTGCATCTCTTGGACAAATGTCTTGAACTTGCTCATGTTATCGAATCCCACATTGGTCTCAGTAGCTAGACCATCGGGAAAATAGCAGCTGAAAAGTTCGAGTTGCTCCACATTCGAATCATCAGATTCGACTTTTTTACTGCGATCCACTATAACAGGTGTCACAACCTCTAACTCTCTGCGGTAAGCATCAAGATCGACGTGGTTCCAGCTCCGGTTATCCTGTACAAGCCATTCCAGCAGCCAGATCTTGCGGTACAATACCCGAGGTTGCCCTTCTTTTCTGGTTCTGGCGTCATCTTCCCTGAAAGCAGTATCACGACATTCTTGTTCAAGCCCATTGCTTCTAGATGTGCCGTTGAACGACCAATCACATTGTAGTCTACCCGCATAAAGGTCATGATCTCCTTCAAAGTTTTCATCCTTCCGCCAACATATGAAAAACAGTACCCGTAAGTTTTCACTGGCGTAATAAAGTCTATCTCGACTTCTGTTATTTCCTTGATAATATCAGGTGCACATCCAACAAAGTTGTTGTTGACAATAGCATATAGTGTTTCAGGCTTCTCCTTCTTCAGTTTTCCGTGACATCCTTTGCAACAGGATATGCCCCATTTCCGATCGTTGCGCCTTTTCCCGTTAACTCCACGTGGTGACAGTGCCAGTTCACCAAGCCATGTTCGACATCCCTTCAGAACCTCGCAGGTGGATCCCTAAATCGGTAACAGTCTTCAACAGCTTCACAATGGTACTCCAGATGATCTTGGATGACTTTGTCCAACGTAGATGTTCTTGAACAACTTTCTTTAAACGGATGATCGAAGGAACAACCATTCCACATTGTTTCGTGCAGCATTGAGGTTTCATCGTCATACACAGAGAAACAATAGGGCGAGAACGCCTGGTCCAGGGTAATCCATCATCATCAGATTGTCATACCGACGGTTGATGTTAGCCTGAACGCACTCCACGGTCTTGACATTGCCGATAATTTCGAAAGGCTCAAAGTTGGACATGGACATGGAAGCTGCCGCCAAGAAGAAAAGAAAGCCCCACGAAGCACTGCATGTAGAGGAACACATCCTGCCATTAGGATTTTGTGAGAACGAAGCCTATCTTCCACAGTTCTTCGAACAGACAGTTTCGCTGTATGCATCGTGGTAATCGAAGCAAAATTGTACTCTATTATCGATACTCCGATCCAATTTTCACGATAGAACAGCTGACTTCACTGGATAGGCAATCACGCTATCTACACCCAACCACACAGTGAAAACAGCGTGACAAATCTTTATTCATTTCAGCGAAGCCAGTCGCACCACGTTTCCTAATCTGTCATGTTGATCGTTAAGTAAATCCCACGTCTTTCATTTACATCCGCGCCCCGCTCCCATCTCGCTGTGATTTTCACTTAGATGACATATACCCCGAAAATCCAAAATCGTGAGGGCCCGCTCTAGTCATCTGGTGGGTAGGATAAAATATCATTATATGCACCGTTTCAAATACCCTAAATCCCTGCCGGCAGCAATTGGCGGATTTCAGACAACTCCGCTCTAGTCATCTGGTGGGTAGGATAAAATATCATTGTATGCACCGTTTCAAATACCCTAAATCCCTGCCGGCAGCAATTGGGGGATTTCACACAACTCCAATCACACGTGTGTTCTTCATGTGTCTACGGTACTGTCACCTAAATAATTCAAATCGAATCTTTTCCACGAAAACTTGCGATTTCTAGCGAAGGTATCGTGCACGACTTCCGCTGGCAACGCCCCTTCCCCCTTCGATACAAGTGTACTGTTTCACTATAGCATTACAAGCCAGGCTACACTATCTACGCTCAATCGTATCAGCGAATACACTCAGGCGAAGACATCCCCGCTTTCTATATATACTTTCTTTGCATTGAAAATGTATATATGCAACCATTCCTATCGCATCGATCATCTTGAAACAGTCACAAAATCAGTTCAGCAAAACCTGAAACATCCCCTCATCCTACCTAGCAGCCAACCCATCAGCCATCTCTCCTGCCCACGTAAGTACCTTCTATTTTACCTTCTTCTTCTGTTTGACAATGTTTTGCCTTTCAACATGGCCACTCACCTTCCTCTTTCGGACTTCAAGTTTTCAGAACTCCTTCACCATGTCTTCCCAAACACCCGACATCAACACACGTCGTCGCAATCGTACCCCTACTTCCGCGGGTATCAACAGCAAGGGAAAAAAAGGGCGGCGGCAACAAAGCAAGAGGTCCTTTCAATTCCTGTGAGTTCCACGCTGTAATTCCCAGCAACCTCAAGGAAGACGAAGAATCCCCCTTCCCCGGAATGTTCCTCAAGTTCACAGGCTTTGTTGAGAAGAAAGCTACCGGGTGTATGTACAACCGACGCAAAGACCACCCCGTCAACGGCGTTAAACCCAAAGACATGATGGCCTTTGTTCAAGCCCTCTCTGACAAGCACATGATCGAGTGGGTATTCAAGTTGGTGGACCCCGCTTCTGCTGATGGGGAAAAGCTCCTTATGTACGAGGCCACCAACGGTACTGCTTATGACCAAAGAGGCTTCTTTGTTATCATGTGCCCCAGAGGTGAAATTGACGAAGAAACTGGTGAACGTTTGTTGCCCCAGATCCCAACCCCAGAAATGGCCTTGAAGTGGTTCAATGAAACCTTTAAACCGGCCTACATGCAATACGTGTACGACCCGGCAAAGAAGGATGAACCCTTCCTAGTTCTCGACGAACAGGACAAGTGGTACAAGGTCCATGACACCTGGAGTGAGCTGATCACCCACTCCGACATCATGACTCACCTTGTGACGGATTCTTGGATCGATCAAGGCGAATACCGCACTGTATCCGAGTTCCTCAAGGACGACAAGGGCCATGTGTACTCTATTTGGCCTCGTGGTCAACTCCCGGCTTCACGTCTTACGTCCGTTGGTTTCACCGAAACAACCTTGGATGCATCGGACTTCGGTCGCATGCGGGCCATCACTGGTGCCCGTCGCAACATTATTACAAGCCACTACGCACGCACACCAACCCCCGCCCCCACCCCTACTCCACCAGTTCGCCTTCAAGCTGCCACACTGGCCCTTCCCCATGGTTTTGCACTACCCCCCGGCATGAACTTTGAGGCCTTCTTGGGAACTCTTCTCGAAAAGCACCAGCAGGAGAACGGTGGTAAGTCTCCTACAGTAGCTTCCCGTATAAATCCCCCGTGCCCTCACTTTCAAATCCTTAATACTGGACCTCCCAATATTATTCGCAAACCATTCCCAGTTCCAATGCAACCAAATACGTCATCTCCCGTTCCACCTGTTCCACGAACCACGTCGGCCAAAGTGTCACCTGCGAATAGTCAGAATGATGACAATCCACATGGTATGAAGAAAGCTGCCGAACTTGCTCACGATCCTATTGCCGAATACCCCAGTACCGAAGAAGAGCAGGAAACAGAGGAAGAAGAAGACACCAAGCTCCCAGCGGAAGCGAACCAACCCTCCACTTAACACATACTATCACACAAAACTTTTACAACCTCACATATACCACGTTGACTTCAAAATTGCCAAACCTAAACCCTAAATATAAGCCACATGATTGATTCGATTCTATTCACCATACGCAATCCTGTATTAGTAAACGGGTTAAACTAGTACTGGAAACGAAGACGACCCAGAGGGCATATGAATTGCCTTTGAGTACCGTTTGGGATTTAAAAGGTGTTCTATGCACGTCTCACGTTCAGGTGTCTCGCATTCGAGATCTTCACGATCGTGGATCGAGAGAGAACCAAAAGGCAAGCCCAAAGAAAGATAGCCGCCATGAACCAAGCACTGTTTGATGGCGCTCTGGACGTTGTCCTACAGAGTGGTTACATAGTGCGCGTCACTGTTCAGATCGAGAACCAGGTCGATCAAACCTTCTATTGCTGTCCTGCTGCTACCGCTGCTGACATTCGTAGACTCCTGAGAGCACGCAACGAGAATCTTCAGCATGCTGATGGCACCAATGGAGCCCGTTTCAAGGAGCTAAGGATCACGGACCATCAAGGGAAGCATGTATTTGGACTCTTCGAAAAATCTCCTCCATCATTGGACACGCTGTTGAATTGTGAGATTGTTGCCCGGGACCCTCATTTGTTCTCCCTTTTTCAAATTTTGAAGATGACGGAAACTGAACGCGACCGCATGATGCAATGCATGATCACTCCCCGCTTGCCCCAAAAATGCCCCGGAAGACACATCCTAGAGTACTCCAATGTTCTGATCTTAACCAACATGGTATGTGATGTGTGTGAAGTGAGGCTTGAGACCCGCCCAGACTGGTGGGGCTGTCGTGAGTGCAACTTTGATCTCTGCAGAGAATGCCACGACGGTGATCAGGGAGATGACGTAACAATGCTAGGAACAGATCCCTATGATGAGGTGGCAGCCCTTGCAAAGCACATAGGACTGGAAGTTGCAAAAGGAGAAAGGGGAAGGCGCCTCGGTCGCTGGTCGGGCCGCCGTGTGGTGTATTGGAATACCACCAATTGGGGCTGGGTCAGGCCTTCTGTGTTTCAAAAGCCAGGTCGGCTCACTTCACTCTCACCGCACCAGTTCCCTATGGAACAGGAGCAGCTCTTGTTGGCTCCTGGGGTTCGCTTGGTGATCCGATTCAATGAGAGGCTTCGTAGGGTGGTTTCCGCCGCCATTGCACCTGAGACCGCATCTTCTGCGTCGGATCTCTTGCCAGGAGAGACTGATGAAGTCCTTCCGAACGGTGCAAATTTCACAGCTCTAAGAAATCATGGTAGGAAGCTTCTCTCTGAACGAGTTGGCTGGGAACGTGTGATGCAGGTGTTGTCGAAAAAATTTGAGATGCGGTGGAAAGGGTGTCGTGGTGGGGGCACAATTAAGCACCGTGACCTTGTCCTTGGTCTCATCGAATTTGAACTTGACAAAGTTAGATATGAACTTTCGGCGGTTGCCGATGGGGTAAACGGCCACATGTCGGTGCACCTCTAGAGCCCTCCGACCATTTCAGAGGCGTGTGTTGATCCTCGTTGTCATCGGCTGCAACGTGAAACGCAGTAAGATCAGAATATTCACTCTAGTTTCTAAAGTAACTGGTACTCTATGGGGTGCAACTCATCACTGCACTTCTTGCCAGCTCTATAAAATGCTCTCTGTATCGGGAGGTGTATCCACGACAAGGTCGTCCTTCTCAAAAATCATCTCACCCAACCCTGGAAGAAGGAAAACTCGAGATGTGAGCAGCTACCGGTATCATGATGACGTTGTGGCCTGGTCTTACCTGGACTGCAAACCGTGACGCCATCGGGCCCTTCCTCAACTTCCTCAAAGTCTACTTCCCCTGCCAATAATGGATGGTTTGCAATGAGCCACTTTGCTTCCAGAAAGTTGCAGGCAGAACTACTTCTCCGAATCTGATATACCCCATCAAACGGATTGTTGAGATCTCGAGCGAAAGAGTAGAAGAGGACATAAATGTTCGTCAGGATGGCAAACAGGATAGATGCTTCCATTGGTGGGGAACCAGTGATTTGGTCCACCTTGGGTAGAATGGATACAATATAGCTCAGCACGATCAGGAAAGTCAACAGATTCAAGACCTGAAAATGGGTGGGAGGTAATGAGAGTGCTTCCATACTTAATCGCTCTGCCCGCATTCGAATCAAATCTTTCGCGGTATCACGAGAGTTTGCCAGAAGGTTCTTTCCATAGCGGACAAGCGAAAGCAAAGGGTCGAGAGAACAAAAGTATCAAGTATCAGTGCGATGAACTTGCTTCAACGGTGCCGCCCCCTCCACCCACCCAGATCCCTTGTGCACTCACCCCTTGAGATCCAAAACCCCCAAATTTTCGATACAGTTCTTCCTCCCTGTAGTCTAGCAACTCTAAGATTTGTGCATAATGATCAGTATACATTATGCTCATGAGTTCAGCGGCTCGACTTGATTTGACCATGATTCTGATTTGATCGGCGCATTTTTGCACTGATTCTACCGCAAGGTCTCGATCATCTTTAAAGATGCTTAGTAGATTGCGAATCATCATTGTGATCATGGCACTTTCTCTGGCTGCGGCGTCTTGGATGTCTTTTACCCGATTGTACAAAATGTTGAGTGTTAAAGAAATAAAGGTACCGTATAGAATTGAGACGCCGGGACCAAACTTGCTGGTGATTGCATCAAGTTCCTCCGATTGCATGGTGACAAAACTCTCCAAGAAGCTCGTGAGGTATGGAAATATAAAGTATGCTGTCACTCCAATAGAAATGCGGGCGGCCAAACCCAACCAAAAGCCTTTGTATAGTGGCGATGGAGGGTAAGACAGATCGGAGAGGGACGGCGGCACGGACATGTTTTCAAGTTTGTAGGGATCTTTCTTGGCATAAGATCGATTCTTGAGCAGCCTTGTTCGCAATGCCGAGATGCCAATTTCTCCAAGACCACTCTCAAAGCCACCCGAAAGGTTCAAGGCAAGTTCATCCTTTAGTGCAACAGAGTCTGTGCTGGCAGCTGGCGGTATCGAAACGACGGTTGGTTTTCGAAACTTGACATCTTCGCATCCACGGCCCTTGTATTTCATGTTTGCGCTTTCACCTCTCCCTTTGCTGCTTTTGCCAGATTTACTTCCTCTGTAGCGTTCTCTAACATTGTACGAGAATGATGGATAATCAACCGATCTCCTCATTCTTTCTCTTATTCTCTTCACTTCCGCCATCTTTCCGTCGGCCGCTCCTTCCACAAACAATGGGTCGCCTTCCCCGTTCTTTGGCGTTGACCAAACATCAGTTCCTCTGCCTGCACCACTATCAGTAGTGGGAACCTTGAACGCTCTTGTTCCGTGGCAATATAGTCTTGGAGGTTGGAAGGCTTCCACACCAGTACTCTTTTGCAGCAAAAAAACTACATAGAAAGGGAAACACCCAATCCACAGCAATTGCAGCGACGGCCGTCTTCTTGCTTCCACAAACATGGTCTCGTTGTGTGATAGCACTTGAAGCTGCGTTAGATTAGCCGAGAGAGCGATCCCCATTGTGACAGTTTTGGATTTTGGATCTAAATCTGAAGGGAGGTTTGCCGGAACAAATTGAGACTGACGTCAGAGCGTTCAATAAGCTCTATCCCTCGCATCCCTCCTCAAAGAATGAGGACAGGCTGCACGAGTGAGTACCACGAACACCTATCAGGTGCCGATACCGTTGGCAATGTCTAGTAAAGTAGCATACAGCATTTTTTTAAATAGTACCGGTATGAAGTGAGATGACTGAGGACTCGACTCTTAAAGAAAGACAGTCCGTCTAGTAGGTAGAGAGGCAACGCGCCTCCTGAGAACAGGCACAAAAGATCGACGCCAGCCAGAAAACTATCGCAGTTTTTGTGCTGTCTCATTGCATGTTACGTGACAGACTTGACTGTACCGGTACGGTGCGTCCCCAATTGGCACTGCAGTTTTAGGGGTCAAATGTAGGCTCGTTGATTGGTTTCATGGCCGCCCGATCGTTGAGGCCTTTATCTCGGGCTGTATCCAACTCGTCCACATGTAGATAGCGACCCGTGATTTCATCATCCAACAGGAGAGCCAACAATCCATCTTCTACCGATTCTGCCGTCCGAACTCCTTTCCTTCCTTCTGGTTTGGGGAAGGATTGTGTATTGACCATGCCTGGACTCAAGGAATTGACTTGGATGTTCGTGTCTTTGAGTTCTGCCGCTAGGGATGCTGTCATTCCCTCCAATGCAAATTTGGACGTTACATATTGAGATACTTGTGGCAATCCCATTTTGCCAGCCCTGGACGAGATATTGATAATTTTTCCCGCTTGGGCGGGTAGCATGGCTTGTCGCAACACGCACGAGGTCACAATCTGGACCGACACGACATTCAAGAGCAGAAGATTATGGAGTTCATCGGCATCGAGCGTCTCCAATGGTCCCTTGCGAGCCTGACCTCTTCCCGCATTGTTGATCAGAATGTCGATGCCACCCCATCGTTCGACAATGCTCTTGACCATGCTTTCCACGGATTTCGAGTCTGTCACATCTGCCACAAACGAGTCCATAACGGGTGCTGTGGATTCTTCCTCTTTTCCCGTCTGGCATACTTGTTGACTACCGGTAGCGGCCAACTTAACGGTTTCTTCCAGTTCTTCTTTTGTCCGCGAAGATATTGCCACTTTGGCCCCTTCGCGGCTACAAATCAGTGCAATGGCTCTCCCTATCCCTCGCCCTCCACCTGTTACAAGGACCCTTTTCCCCGCTAGACGAGCAGAAGAGGCTGTTGCCATAGCAGCAAGTGTTGGGGCTAGCAATAACAACAAGATGAAGACAACTCCAGAGCGACAGCAGGTTGGTTTTACTGTCATCGCAGGATTGAGAGTGAAGGGTGTAGTCGCTGGTCGCTGTGATAGCTGCGATCTCTAACTGATGGCTTGGCGTAAACGTTCGAGTAGCACAGTGTCTGTGAAACAACGATGCCGTTTGCCGATCTTTCAAAAGCTAGCAGAGCCGAAATAGTACTGAAGTACGGGAGCCCCTTGGCACTCTAGTAGATCTCTCCAGACTTCGCCCTTCTTTAATAAAAAATTGCTTGTTACGAAAAATTTTAAGCTAGAAATTGAAAGGATGCCCCCCCGGAGGGGGCTTAGAAGTTTAAGGATTGGGCCCTTGGGGCCCAACCACCAAGCTAGCTAATGGGAGTGGAACACATGGCCTTCTGGCTGGCCCTCAAAGCACTGCAGCAGAACCTCTTTCACCTCTGGCTTTGTCTTTTTGATGAACTTTCCCAGGACCCTGGCCCAATTCTTCATGTCTGCGAAGCTTGTGGAGGAGTCCAACAGCTTGGCTTTGGTCAGACCGCCTTGCTTCGGAGAAGCCTTTCTCTTTCCAGTGGCATGTTGATTGATGGCGGCCATCTGAACCAGCATACCCCCTGTCTGAGCAAAGCTTTGGCATGCTGGGGCCTCAGCCTACCCCTGAGACCAGCGTTGCCCTGCCCCATCATGTTGAAGTGCATTCGATCGAATGATTCGGCAGCGAGCTCGGCAACGTTGTCCGTGTTGGCGGCGCTACCATAGTGTTCGATTGCATGCCTGACTGAGTTACGGCAGACTTCTTCCTGCTTTGTACTCAGTTTTTTTGAAGAATCCAACCACTGGTGACCACACTAACCTGATAGAGGGACATGGGGCTCTGGTTCCTGCTCCAATTGTTCTGAGGGCTGTTGTGCATAGCGGATTGTGGTGTTGTCCTGCTGTCTCCTGGCAGCCTGATCCCAGGAGGCGTGGTTGGATTGACCACTGAAGCAATGGGCGCAACTGTGATGGCTGGGGCCACTGGAGGCACTGGAGATTCAGTCTGGATGAGGGTGTCAATCTGTTGCGGCAACTAGAGGAGTCCTGGTTTTCGCAGAGGCACGCCCTGTCTTGCCAGCAGCCGCCAAGAACTCCATGCCGTTGTCGTCCACCTTGGGGAAGTGTCCTCCACTGGACGAGTACATGCTCCGGATAGTGGTCGATACAAGCCGGAGCCTCTTTCTTACTCGCACTCATCGTCGTCCTTGGATTGCGATGAATACAGCTTCCTCGGATTGCGATGAAAGCGGCTATACCCTCGGCGTGCGGTAAGTACCTCTACGGCAAGTGAATACGGATGGGATGACCCCCTATGAATTCCAGGTAGGAACTCAGCTGGTAGGTGCACAAGAGCTGGGATGGAGAGCTCTGTTTGGTGGAGATCTCCTTCCACTGGCGCTGGAAAGGCCAGCCCAAGGCTGGCCGTCACTGTTATTCAATCTCCACAGCAATGATTGAACAACTTACTCTTTGCCCTGGCACAGTCCACACAGGAAGGCTTCAACTGTGGGGAAACTAGTGCTACTGAGGCTGTATCTGGTCAACTATCCTTTCATTACTTCTTCTTTAAAACTATAGCATGTACACAAACTCTGATTTTGCGTGAAACTCCATCATCCAGCCATGCAGGATACAGATCCATGCATCTCTTTTGGCTGGTATAGATCAAGCCATCTATCTGCGACGGGATACAGCTTACAATTCAGCTTTACAGCTTTACAATTGGCAGGCTTATTCTAGA